CCCTCTCCCATGTCCCCCCGGAACTGTCGGTCCCATTGTTTTCTCCTCCAGATTGTTCATCCAGCCTATTTTATATAGATAGACCTGAGTGCCTGTCATCTTCAGAGCTCATGATTGGTCATCTAAGATGCAACTATTTGTCTATTCCTTGCAGAACAAAGGGGGGTAAAGACAACCAAAGACTCGGGGAGCAATTAGTTCAAAGGATTAATGGATCACATTAACCACAGGCTACATGACTTTAGTACTAGAGGAATTAGATGGTGCCCAACTACCACTACTGACTTTTATGACTGGGGTCACAACAGAGGGCCCAGACAGAGTGGGGAAAACAGAGTAACAAAAGAAAATTAAATTCACAAACAAGACCAGAATATGTTCTGACAGAGTCTGGAGGAAGCCCCTCCCCCTTCCCACCAAGACCATAACCCTAAAACACTCTTCTGATCTGGAAATTAAGCTGTGTCCAGAGATCACCTTTGGCTAAACTGGGTAATAAAATAAATCCCTGGGAGGAAATATGTACCTTAGAACAATCGATTATAGAAGAACAAAGGGAGAACATTTTCCCCAGATGAAAGGTGTGTGAGTCTGGGTAGACTAGAGAAACAAATCCATGTATAAGAAAGAGATTTATATACAAGAGGAATTGAACATTGCGAAAACAGCCCAACCCAGTCCAGTCCAAGGCTATAAGTATGGTATTAGCCCATATGTCCGATACCAATCTCTAAAGTCCGCTTCAGACTCCTGAAACACATGCAATGAAGTCAAATGCAGGACAGTCACAAGCCAGTGGGTAGAAAGTCTTTGGGTCCAGTGGCATTGTAAACATCTCAGTGCTGGCAGGGATCTCTACGTGACTTCTCCGGCTTCCGAGGTCTGGTTGCATCTATGTGGCTTGTCTTCTGCAATGTCTCCCTGGAAGTGGCAGAGAGGGAAAAGTGTCTTCTGCCTCCAAGGAGGAACTACCAGATTTCCCAGAATTCCCAGGAGAAGGCCATGCCCACACAGAAGTCTCATTGGCTATGATATGATTGACAGCCTGGACTCCACCCTTACACTCTTAATCCTGAAATTGACACCACAAAAGGCTGGAAGAGAAGGCAAGGAGGAAGACAGAATCTCGGTGAAAGGAAATGGGGAACCCAAGGCGGAAAGGGGGGGGTGTGTTGACACATTGTAGGGAATGCCACCAATGTCCTGGAATGCTGCATGTACAAACTATCGAACAGGAAATGAATTTACTGTGTAAGCTTTCACCTGAATCACAATCTAAAATAGGAAACCTTAGGAAGAAGTTCTGTTTTGCACACACAGGTCACATGAGTTGAAATTGCCTTAATAGATTATTGTATATACTCGAGTATAAGCTGACCCAAATATCAGCGGAGGCACCTAATTTTACCACAAAAACTGCATTAAAATGTGCTGAAAAACTCGGCTTATACACAGGTATCTGCGGTACGTGGGTGGTCCCTTCTCTACTTCCTGTGTGCCAGTTCATTGTACTCTGGGGACTTGGATTTTGCTGTTTCTGGAAGCCATACCACCAACATTTCAATTATCAGCAGGGTCCCTCTAGGTCAGCAGTTCTTAACCTGTGGGTCCTGACCCCTTTGGGGGTCGAACAACCCTTTCACATGGATCGCCTGATTCATCACAGTAGCAAAATGACAGTGATGAAGTAGCAATGAAAATAATTTTATGGTTTGGGGTGGGGGTGGGGGATCACCACAACATGAACTGTATTAAAGGGTTGTAGCATGAGGAAGGTTGAGAACCACTGTTCTAGGTGGATGAGTTTCATCAGCGCTTCTAGACTAAGAAGTAAGAAAGGCATTGTGTTACCCAACCCGCAAAGTGTTTTGATGGAAATGTGCACAGCAAGTTAGGTTTCCATCAGAATTTCCACACAAAATGCTCACTGATACGACCCTCTTACTAGATTGTACCTGACTAGATGGCATCTGTCCAGATCCAGCTAATACAAAAGACAGGAGTCAGCTGGATGGTGGCCAAAATGTGGTGGTAGTACATCTGCAGCCGATTGGAACCCATGGCCTAGATTTGTGAACAGATGGGCTTCAGAAACTCCCTTCTCCAGCCCCAGGCAGGCTTGAGCAGCCGATGCTGCCAACAGGACTAGGAGGAGAGCTTCTGCCGATCAAGCCAGGCTTCTCCAACAATGAGCCCCGTGCAACTGAGTGTCCTGTTTTTTCTTTCTTGAGCCTTACTGATGACATGGGTCTGTTTTCCCATGGGAAGGGCCTTGTCAATGAGAAACTGGGACCTCCGGCAGCTGGCTTCCTCCTAAATGGCCTCTTCTGGCCAGTAGAAGCATGCCCCACGCCCAACCCCTGCTTATGGGAGCCAGAGGCATGTGGGGCCACCTTCCCAGGAAAAGATCCTGTGTCAGCATTGCAACCTTGCTGCAATCTGCCTACTGTGCTTAGAACCTTTCAGCACGGAGCAGTTAGTGACCCAAACCAAGCCGACCTTCGAGTTGATTGAGTCCCAGCCACCACATCTATGGCTTCTGAGACTGGCTGCCGACCTTTACACGAGCAGGAGCAGGCAGGCTCATTGCTCTCCCAAGGAGCAGCTGGTGGCCTTGACATTAGCAGTCCAACACTTACCCAGCAGTCACCAGGGCTCAAAGGTTTACTATAATTAGGCATTTACCCAAATGGAATGATTTAGGAAATCCCACTTCTCAGAAGGAAATGTCTTGTCGAGCAGCTGAAACTTTGACATGGACAAAATCGTGTACTTAAAAAAAAATTGTTTTATTGACATGTAATTCTCTTAATGCGTTTGGTTTCTTTGAGCTGTTTTTGACCTACAGAGCTGTGGAGGAAGTAGAGTTCCCATTGGCCCCCTCACCTGCCATTAGCACCCAGCATCCCTCTGGTCCATTTTCTACAAAGCATATGCCCATATAAACACATTGCCATGAACTAAAGTCTACTGTTGGGGCTTCTTTGTGTTGTGCAGTCCTATGAGTTTTGAGAAATGCATAATGTCACGTGTCCACCACAGCAGTATCTTACAGAATGGTTTTAGGAGATTTCCTTTCAAACTTGCATTATGTGTTTCTACTTGGGTTTCGTTGGCAGATTGAGTCTCTCTCTCTCTTTGTCTTACAAATCCATTCTTCCCAGCTTCTGAAAATCTACTTAGTGCTCTGCCAGGAAATGGTTTTGGGTTTTAATGTGTTAAGTGTTATGTTGCAGTTACTTGGCAGCGATTCGGATGGGTGGGGGAAGCAGACGTGAGCCCAAGCGTCTTATGTTTTTGATGAGCTGCTGTTGCCCCTTTTTAAATTTTAAAAGCTCAAGCTGTGCTGAACTTAGTAATATAGCAGGCTGCTGAGCACTCGTCCTAATGCTATGCATGAATATGCCCTGGACAGGAAGCATGTGACTGATTTATGTGCTTTCAGAAACTTGAACTGCTAGCCCACAGGGATCAGAGGGGCTTTAACTTGGGTGATTGTTTCTCTGCTCTGTTCAGGTTCAATAATACTGTCTCCCGAATGTACTTACAAGGCCATTTTACTAAGTGCTCTGGGCGAAAGCAAAAGGGCAGGGGTGGTATGTAAAGATATTTTTTTATTTGCTGTTTATCCATTTTTTTAAGGGAGCAATAGACCTCATTGCCTAGGAAAAACGATTTTGTTTGTTTTTGTAAATTTTCCTGTGCTTTTTTTAATATTCTATCCCATAAGGAAAAAATCTCTAGTGGCAGAGTGGGCTGTTAGCCACACAGTCGGTGCTTCAAACCTATTCGATGGCAGTGAGTTTGTTATTTTTGGCTTTAGACTCCTTGAGGGAAAGAAATCAGGGTGGTGTATTTGAATGACAAGTGCCTTTCAGTCTTCCTCCAAATCATGTTGATGCTGATTGTTGTGAGAGGGTATTTATTTTCTTGGTTGTGTGTGTGTGTGTGTGTGTGTT